AGGCTTGGCAGCGGTCTTAGGATCTGGCTTAGTTGCCACTTTGGGATCAGGTTTAGTTGCAGTCTTAGGATCCTTCAAGCTCATCTTCGGGTCTTTCTTATCTGGTCCTCCTACCAAATCAGCAGGAAGTTCTTCATCCTCCATAGGTTTTTTACTGGTGGGCTTAGCTGCAGTTTTAGGATCTGGTTTAGCAGCAACTTTGGGATCAGGCTTGGCAGCGGTCTTAGGATCTGGCTTAGTTGCCACTTTGGGATCAGGTTTAGTTGCAGTCTTAGGATCCTTCAAGCTCATCTTCGGGTCCTTCTTATCTGGGCCTGCTACCAAATCAGCAGGAAGTTCTTCATCCTCCATAGGCTTTTTACTGGTGGGCTTAGCTGCAGTTTTAGGATCTGGTTTAGCAGCAACTTTGGGATCAGGCTTGGCAGCGGTCTTAGGATCTGGCTTAGCTGCAACCTTAGGATCAGGCTTGGCAGCGGCTTTAGGATCAGGTTTAGCTGCAGTCTTAGGATCTTTCAAGCTCATCTTCGGGTCCTTTTTATCTGGTCCTCCCACTAAGTCAGCAGGAAGTTCTTCATCTTCCATAGGCTTTTTACTAGTGGGCTTAGCTGCAGTTTTAGGATCTGGCTTAGCGGATGCTTTAGGGTCTGGTTTAGCAGCAACTTTGGGATCGGGCTTGGCAGCAATCTTAGGATCAGGCTTGGCAGCGGTCTTAGGATCCTTCAAGCTCATCTTCGGGTCCTTCTTATCTGGGCCTGCTACCAAATCAGCAGGAAGTTCTTCATCTTCGGTAGGTTTCTTACTCGTAGGCTTAGCTGGGACTGCTTTCTTAGGATCAGGCTTAGCAGCGGTCTTAGGATCTGGCTTAGTTGCCACTTTGGGATCAGGTTTAGTTGCAGTCTTAGGATCCTTCAAGCTCATCTTCGGGTCCTTCTTATCTGGGCCTGCTACCAAATCAGCAGGAAGTTCTTCATCTTCGGTAGGTTTCTTACTCGTAGGCTTAGCTGGGACTGCTTTCTTAGGATCAGGCTTAGCAGCGGTCTTAGGATCTGGCTTAGTTGCCACTTTGGGATCAGGTTTAGTTGCAGTCTTAGGATCCTTCAAGCTCATCTTCGGGTCCTTCTTATCTGGGCCTGCTACCAAATCAGCAGGAAGTTCTTCATCTTCGGTAGGTTTCTTACTCGTAGGCTTAGCTGGGACTGCTTTCTTAGGATCAGGCTTAGCAGCGGTCTTAGGATCTGGCTTAGTTGCCACTTTGGGATCAGGTTTAGTTGCAGTCTTAGGATCCTTCAAGCTCATCTTCGGGTCCTTCTTATCTGGGCCTGCTACCAAATCAGCAGGAAGTTCTTCATCTTCGGTAGGTTTCTTACTCGTAGGCTTAGCTGGGACTGCTTTCTTAGGATCAGGCTTAGCAGCGGTCTTAGGATCTGGCTTAGTTGCCACTTTGGGATCAGGTTTAGTTGCAGTCTTAGGATCCTTCAAGCTCATCTTCGGGTCCTTCTTATCTGGGCCTGCTACCAAATCAGCAGGAAGTTCTTCATCTTCGGTAGGTTTCTTACTCGTAGGCTTAGCTGGGACTGCTTTCTTAGGATCAGGCTTAGCAGCGGTCTTAGGATCTGGCTTAGTTGCCACTTTGGGATCAGGTTTAGTTGCAGTCTTAGGATCCTTCAAGCTCATCTTCGGGTCCTTCTTATCTGGGCCTGCTACCAAATCAGCAGGAAGTTCTTCATCTTCGGTAGGTTTCTTACTCGTAGGCTTAGCTGGGACTGCTTTCTTAGGATCAGGCTTAGCAGCGGTCTTAGGATCTGGCTTAGTTGCCACTTTGGGATCAGGTTTAGTTGCAGTCTTAGGATCCTTCAAGCTCATCTTCGGGTCCTTCTTATCTGGGCCTGCTACCAAATCAGCAGGAAGTTCTTCATCTTCGGTAGGTTTCTTACTCGTAGGCTTAGCTGGGACTGCTTTCTTAGGATCAGGCTTAGCAGCGGTCTTAGGATCTGGCTTAGTTGCCACTTTGGGATCAGGTTTAGTTGCAGTCTTAGGATCCTTCAAGCTCATCTTCGGGTCCTTCTTATCTGGGCCTGCTACCAAATCAGCAGGAAGTTCTTCATCTTCGGTAGGTTTCTTACTCGTAGGCTTAGCTGGGACTGCTTTCTTAGGATCAGGCTTAGCAGCGGTCTTAGGATCTGGCTTAGTTGCCACTTTGGGATCAGGTTTAGTTGCAGTCTTAGGATCCTTCAAGCTCATCTTCGGGTCCTTCTTATCTGGGCCTGCTACCAAATCAGCAGGAAGTTCTTCATCTTCGGTAGGTTTCTTACTCGTAGGCTTAGCTGGGACTGCTTTCTTAGGATCAGGCTTAGCAGCGGTCTTAGGATCTGGCTTAGTTGCCACTTTGGGATCAGGTTTAGTTGCAGTCTTAGGATCCTTCAAGCTCATCTTCGGGTCCTTCTTATCTGGGCCTGCTACCAAATCAGCAGGAAGTTCTTCATCTTCGGTAGGTTTCTTACTCGTAGGCTTAGCTGGGACTGCTTTCTTAGGATCAGGCTTAGCAGCGGTCTTAGGATCTGGCTTAGTTGCCACTTTGGGATCAGGTTTAGTTGCAGTCTTAGGATCCTTCAAGCTCATCTTCGGGTCCTTCTTATCTGGGCCTGCTACCAAATCAGCAGGAAGTTCTTCATCTTCGGTAGGTTTCTTACTCGTAGGCTTAGCTGGGACTGCTTTCTTAGGATCAGGCTTAGCAGCGGTCTTAGGATCTGGCTTAGTTGCCACTTTGGGATCAGGTTTAGTTGCAGTCTTAGGATCCTTCAAGCTCATCTTCGGGTCCTTCTTATCTGGGCCTGCTACCAAATCAGCAGGAAGTTCTTCATCTTCGGTAGGTTTCTTACTCGTAGGCTTAGCTGGGACTGCTTTCTTAGGATCAGGCTTAGCAGCGGTCTTAGGATCTGGCTTAGTTGCCACTTTGGGATCAGGTTTAGTTGCAGTCTTAGGATCCTTCAAGCTCATCTTCGGGTCCTTCTTATCTGGGCCTGCTACCAAATCAGCAGGAAGTTCTTCATCTTCGGTAGGTTTCTTACTCGTAGGCTTAGCTGGGACTGCTTTCTTAGGATCAGGCTTAGCAGCGGTCTTAGGATCTGGCTTAGTTGCCACTTTGGGATCAGGTTTAGTTGCAGTCTTAGGATCCTTCAAGCTCATCTTCGGGTCCTTCTTATCTGGGCCTGCTACCAAATCAGCAGGAAGTTCTTCATCTTCGGTAGGTTTCTTACTCGTAGGCTTAGCTGGGACTGCTTTCTTAGGATCAGGCTTAGCAGCGGTCTTAGGATCTGGCTTAGTTGCCACTTTGGGATCAGGTTTAGTTGCAGTCTTAGGATCCTTCAAGCTCATCTTCGGGTCCTTCTTATCTGGGCCTGCTACCAAATCAGCAGGAAGTTCTTCATCTTCGGTAGGTTTCTTACTCGTAGGCTTAGCTGGGACTGCTTTCTTAGGATCAGGCTTAGCAGCGGTCTTAGGATCTGGCTTAGTTGCCACTTTGGGATCAGGTTTAGTTGCAGTCTTAGGATCCTTCAAGCTCATCTTCGGGTCCTTCTTATCTGGGCCTGCTACCAAATCAGCAGGAAGTTCTTCATCTTCGGTAGGTTTCTTACTCGTAGGCTTAGCTGGGACTGCTTTCTTAGGATCAGGCTTAGCAGCGGTCTTAGGATCTGGCTTAGTTGCCACTTTGGGATCAGGTTTAGTTGCAGTCTTAGGATCCTTCAAGCTCATCTTCGGGTCCTTCTTATCTGGGCCTGCTACCAAATCAGCAGGAAGTTCTTCATCTTCGGTAGGTTTCTTACTCGTAGGCTTAGCTGGGACTGCTTTCTTAGGATCAGGCTTAGCAGCGGTCTTAGGATCTGGCTTAGTTGCCACTTTGGGATCAGGTTTAGTTGCAGTCTTAGGATCCTTCAAGCTCATCTTCGGGTCCTTCTTATCTGGGCCTGCTACCAAATCAGCAGGAAGTTCTTCATCTTCGGTAGGTTTCTTACTCGTAGGCTTAGCTGGGACTGCTTTCTTAGGATCAGGCTTAGCAGCGGTCTTAGGATCTGGCTTAGTTGCCACTTTGGGATCAGGTTTAGTTGCAGTCTTAGGATCCTTCAAGCTCATCTTCGGGTCCTTCTTATCTGGGCCTGCTACCAAATCAGCAGGAAGTTCTTCATCTTCGGTAGGTTTCTTACTCGTAGGCTTAGCTGGGACTGCTTTCTTAGGATCAGGCTTAGCAGCGGTCTTAGGATCTGGCTTAGTTGCCACTTTGGGATCAGGTTTAGTTGCAGTCTTAGGATCCTTCAAGCTCATCTTCGGGTCCTTCTTATCTGGGCCTGCTACCAAATCAGCAGGAAGTTCTTCATCTTCGGTAGGTTTCTTACTCGTAGGCTTAGCTGGGACTGCTTTCTTAGGATCAGGCTTAGCAGCGGTCTTAGGATCTGGCTTAGTTGCCACTTTGGGATCAGGTTTAGTTGCAGTCTTAGGATCCTTCAAGCTCATCTTCGGGTCCTTCTTATCTGGGCCTGCTACCAAATCAGCAGGAAGTTCTTCATCTTCGGTAGGTTTCTTACTCGTAGGCTTAGCTGGGACTGCTTTCTTAGGATCAGGCTTAGCAGCGGTCTTAGGATCTGGCTTAGTTGCCACTTTGGGATCAGGTTTAGTTGCAGTCTTAGGATCCTTCAAGCTCATCTTCGGGTCCTTCTTATCTGGGCCTGCTACCAAATCAGCAGGAAGTTCTTCATCTTCGGTAGGTTTCTTACTCGTAGGCTTAGCTGGGACTGCTTTCTTAGGATCAGGCTTAGCAGCGGTCTTAGGATCTGGCTTAGTTGCCACTTTGGGATCAGGTTTAGTTGCAGTCTTAGGATCCTTCAAGCTCATCTTCGGGTCCTTCTTATCTGGGCCTGCTACCAAATCAGCAGGAAGTTCTTCATCTTCGGTAGGTTTCTTACTCGTAGGCTTAGCTGGGACTGCTTTCTTAGGATCAGGCTTAGCAGCGGTCTTAGGATCTGGCTTAGTTGCCACTTTGGGATCAGGTTTAGTTGCAGTCTTAGGATCCTTCAAGCTCATCTTCGGGTCCTTCTTATCTGGGCCTGCTACCAAATCAGCAGGAAGTTCTTCATCTTCCATAGGCTTTTTACTAGTGGGCTTAGCTGCAGTTTTAGGATCTGGCTTAGCGGATGCTTTAGGGTCTGGTTTAGCAGCAACTTTGGGATCGGGCTTGGCAGCAATCTTAGGATCAGGCTTGGCAGCGGTCTTAGGATCGGGCTTGGCAGCGGTCTTAGGATCCGGCTTAGCAACGGTCTTAGGATCGGGCTTGGCAGCGGTCTTAGGATCTGGCTTAGCTGCCACTTTGGGATCAACTTTAGCTGCAGTCTTAGGATCCTTCAAGCTCATCTTCGGGTCGTTCTTATCTGGGCCTCCTACCAAATCAGCAGGGAGTTCTTCATCCTCCATAGGTTTTTTACTAGTGGGCTTAGCTGCCGTTTTTGGATCTGGCTTAGCGGATGCTTTAGGGTCTGGTTTAGCAGCAACTTTGGGATCGGGCT